CAGCTCTGGAGAGGCTGCAAACAGGAAGATCACTATGAGTCCGAGCTGTGTAGTGAGACCCTGTACCAAATACATTTAAAAAAAAAAAAAAAAAAAAAAAAAGATGGTTAAGTACCAGAAGTTAAAAATGGTTAAAAGTGACTCCTAGGAAACTACAAATGGGTGTGGTGGCTCACACCTGCAATGCTAGCACTCAGAAGGCCAAGGCATATGTATCAAAAAATAAAAAGAGAAAGGATGTGTGAAAGAAATAGGTGATTTTTCTTCTAAAATTTTTCATATTCTTAAAAGAAAACAAATGTTTATTCAGCAATTACAAAACACTGTTTTCCTAAGAGTATGGGCCACTGAGAAACCCATTAGGCTGTGATTACTAGTTCAGATGTTACGTCATATGCATTCACACTCTGAAATTCTGTTTAAGGATTACAAAATGTAAATGGTTTACAGAAATTTCCTACCTGCGCCCAAGGTATATTTAAATTTAAAAAGAAATATACAGCCAGGCATGGCTGCACATCTGTAATCCCAGCATTCAGCAGGCTGAGAGATTTGCTGAGTTCAAGGGTAGCCTGAGCTACATAGTGAGTTAAAGACCAGCCTGAATTACAGAGCCAGACAGTATCTTAAAAACCAAAAGAAATATACAAACAGAAGCAATTTATTTACAAAAATTACAATTACAAACAGTACAAACTGTTCTGTTTCTGCAACAGAAGCCAAGAGATTTCACTTTCAAATATGACACACATTCAGTAATCTACTGCCCTATTCTAAAAAAATAATTCTCGGAAGCCCATTAATGATATGTGTAGGGGTCATGTCCCTCAAATCTTCTTTCCAGAACTATGCACAAATACATCATAACAGGAACAGAACTAAATACTCTTTCTTTCCAAAAGTAAATTCTGACTAATCCCCTAACATATGCCTGGTGGATTAAAACTAAAACCATGATTTGGGGCTTTAAAAGGGAAGTCCATTTTGACTTCTCATGAGCTGTGCAATTCCATCACAGCCAGTATTTATATGGCTGGTCCTTACGCCTCTGCATAAGGCATCTATCTCCTTGCTAATGTATAAGAAACAGAATTCTGTACTCTTCGGTTCTGCAAGCTGTCTCACATGCTTTTAATCAGAGTCACTACTACTGCTTGAGGAGTCCGTTGACATAACCTCTACGTCATCTTCATTTTCCTTATTATGCCCAGGAGGTTCCAACAAAAAGTCGTTACTGTGGTTTGGTGGTAACATGTTCATTGACATATCATTTGATTGCCATGGATACTGTGGAGCAAGCACATCTGGTAGTCTACCAGCAGCAAGGGCATCCTCTGGTAAATGACCATTCACACCATTTGTGGAAGGATTGTTCATCTGACCCAACAATCCACTTCTCATCTCTAAATCAGTTGGGTATGGTCTTCGTGGGTCTCCTGGAACCCAGGTCAGTGGGGCACAAACAGCATTACTTGCACTAATTCTATGAGCATACTTAATTATTTCTTCAGAGGAGATAGCACCTTTTCTTGCTTTTTCTATTGACTTGAGTTTCTCTTTTGCTTGATAAACAGCAGTTGCCAGTATTTGTTCTGCTTCCTTTACCTGTTTCTGTAGTTGCTGAATATCACTATCTCTCTTCTCTACTTCTTTTTCTAAAACTTGCATTTCATGATGGATTTTTCCCTGATTAAGTGCCAATTTCATTAGTTCCTGAAATTCCCCATCTCGGTGAATTAACAACTCAAGGACCTGGTTTTCCTCCCCAGCCTGTGACAGCTTTTGGTTTCTTGAAATTGCCAGCATTTCTATAAGTTCCCTTGACAAGACCTCCAGATCTTCAAGCGCAGAAAACAGCTGCTCCCGTGTACTGTTACTGCCTGCTGATGCCGAGCTGCCTCCTAGCCACTCCTTCTCCTTCTCACCACTCGAAGAAGCCGCCATGCTTCTCAGGGACCAGCAACCGTCCACTTGTTTCTTTTCATGTTTACATTTTCACCGGCATCTACTGATTGTAAGCATTTTAGTCTATGATCTGTCTTGAATTAACTTTTGCATATGAAATGTTATAGGAGTCCTAGCTGTCCTTTCATGGCTATATCCAGTTATTTCAGGGGAATTTGTTAAATAAGCTTTCCTTTCCCTGCTATTGTGGTGCCCGGCTGATTGTCAACTGAGCATAGAGGTCTCAGTCTATTTCTGGACTTGCCCCAGTTCTATTGATCTATTTCTATCTACTTCTATTATGTCTGTTAGAGCAGTATAATAAATCTCTTTCTTTTTTGAGAAAAGAAAAGGCTCACTATGTAGCCCAGGCTGGTCTTGAGAACTCACAGAGATCCTCCTGCCTCAGCCTCCCAAGTGCTGGGATTACAGGCATGACTGTATGATAAATCTTGAACTCAAGATACTTTTAATTTTTTCCCCAATATTGTTTTGGTTGTTCTAGGTCAGGGATGGTGACCATTTTAGAGCTTTCAATGATAAAAAAAAAAAAACAAACAAACCCAGCCTGCTGCAGCACACATGCCATAAATTCACCACCACTGTTCACCACCTCTGCATTTCCATGTACATTTGAGAATTACATTGTCAATTTCTTCAGAAGAGCCTGCTGAACTTGAGAGTTGATTCAAGATTCTCGATGATGTAATCTCCCCCCAGAGAGAATTTACTTTGTTTCTGTTAAGCAAGCAAAGCTAACAGCTGAACACCTTCATGCAGTGACTGAGAAATTCAAAACACGACTGCAGTCCCTGTTAGCATTAGTTTACTGACAGTTCACCTTATTATTCCCTGGATGAAATCCTTTGTGATAACTAGGGAAACCCTGAGGCTTTTACCTGGCCCCTTCATTCCTTTCAGCTCTTTTCTACAGTTTTGTTATTGTTGTTTATTTGTTTGGGGTTTTTTTGTCTCATTCGTTCTGGTTGACACTGCTGAAATCGCCTCTCAACATTTCCGTTTCTCAGTTTGTTTTTTCTTTTTTAATGTACTTTGTGCAGGGTCTATAGGGTCTCACTACGTAGGTTGGACTCGTAGTGATCCTCCTGTCTTCAGCCTCCCAAGCTCTGGGATTACACGTGCGCCACCACACCCAGTCTCAATTGCCATCTCAGCGTGCCCTGAGGGCGGGGCTGGCAGGGAACACTGGGGATCGAAACCGGCTGCTGCACTCTGCCTAAGCAGGCGCTTTAGTCTGCTGAGCTATCTGGCCAGCCCTTGTTTTTGTTTTGGAATCAGCAATTATCTTCCTGGTAACGTGCCCACCAAGCAGGCTCACTTTCTTGGCTTCTCCTTTCTCCCACTCTTGGAGTGGAAAAGTCTCACTGTTTGAATAGTTCCTCTATGTCTTCAACTCGATGTTCAAAAACTAATAATTCTTCAAATTTCTAATTGTGCTCAGCGAGAAATTTGTCTGAAGCAGCCTAATTAGACAGGCTTTGTCAGAAGTATAACTCTATGACATACGTTTTAAAAATTTAACTTTATTAAAATTAATTTTGTTTTGGAAAATATGGTCATATACTTCCCTCATGATGTGGAAGAGAGCTGACAATTCCCTAAAGAGGTAAAAATTCTTAACATGTGGGTTTGGCTTCAACCTTATTAGGGAGAAAAACTACCACAGACCCTTAAATTGGAATGCGAGTGGCCACAAAGAGAATGTGATGTTGGTGAACCGCTCACCAGGGTTATGTGGTATGCACTGAGAATGCTCTACCCGCTTACCACCATCACCCCAAAAAGAGAAGGAGAGAAGAATAGCTCCTGGTTCATTACCTTTATCCACCCCAACCAAGGCGAAGCAGCGCCGTCCATTCATCATTTTTATTACTGAGCTACAGCAGCATGTGGGTTTTATAGCTGACTCATACTGAGAAGTCCGCTTCCTATTTGCCTTTATAAGTTGATAGTAAAATCTACTCTTCCTGGATTGACCCCAGGAATCTCTCACTGAACTGTCATTTAATGAGGAAACCAGGCTGGTGGAGGTGACAGCAGCGTGAAGAGAGACTATTCCGCAATCTTAACTTAAGCCTTTGAAATTTCTCAAACCAGATGTAAGGCTAGCAGGAAGCCTGTGGCTCTTGTATACAGATGTCCACACCGGGATCCACACATCGACTCCAGAGTGCCTCGTACACACTCCATGTCACAATTTATACAGACAGACTCACAGCCCCTGGGGCACAGGCAGTGGGAAGGCAGGAAGACTAGACTTAGGCATGGCTAGGCAACGTCATGGAATTCCCTGGATCCTGAAGAGAATCTAATAATAAGTGCTAACTTTTGTCAATCCTTCTTGTATGCTAAGTCCAGTTCCAAGGTGCCTTCTATATCTAGATGTATTCAGTCTTCATAATGATCCTACAGAATGCATATTGTTATTTCCGTTTTTTATTTAAAATTTTGTTATGGGGCCAAAGAGGAAAAAGTGTTATGGGGCCAAAGAGGAAAGTGATCGATGATGTAGAGTGTGCTTAAGGAGAGTCACATGGAGAGAAAACATTCTCTCAGGCTTTCACAGAGAGCACATTGGCCAAGCAACGGCCGTGACTCATCCACATGGCTGACACTGACAAAGATTCTACAATCTGAGGTACAGGATCTCAGGATAAATCCTGAGAGGATTTCACTGACCTTATCAGACCCAAAAGCTACAACTCTTATTGCATAGGTCCTGCTTTACCTTGGTCTTAACCATCCAGAAGGGAAGTATAAAAACGAAGTATAAGAAGTAAAGCCATGCTGTTATGTTGAGCTGTAGGGGACTCAGGTCAACAATTTCTGACATTGCTAGTGAAGCGGAAGCCCCAATACTATTATGGGCTACTGGACTCTTTTAGAATATTTTGCTGAGTTTACACACACCTATAATATTCAAATAATGGTACTTAACAAAAAAAGGGGATACAGATGAATGTCCATTTTGTATCTGTGTATTCAAAGTGGTTAGGATAGATATATAGTTACGTTCTCTTAATGAATAGAGGGATTTGTTCTAATGGTGTTTGTAAATAGGATATCAAGTCCATATCTTGTACAGCAATTAATCACTAGGAAGAATTATGCAATGTGTTAATTATTGAAACTGTCCTACCAATTTGATTTGAAACTGTCTCATTGCTATTTGTTTCTCAATAAAATTATGAAATAAATAAATAAATAAAATAACATTTTGAGGCCAGTCAGATAGCTCAGCGGAGTAAAGCGTCTGCTTAGGCAGATGCAGGGGGCAGGGGTTCAATCCCCGGCCTGCTGTGCTGGACCCCACCTCCCGGGGGTGTGCTGAGACCAAATTGAGATTGGGCGTGGTGGCATGCACCTATAATCCCAGCGCTTGGGAGGCTGAAAATAGGAGGATCATTATGAGTCTGATCTATGTAGTGAGACCCCGGAGACCGTGTACTAAATACATTTTAAAAAAAGAAGAAAAAGTAAATGATTTAAGATTTTGGAAGGTTATGTACAAGGTCCAGCAGTTAGTACATTTTGCAGAACCAAGATTCAACTCTACTGCTGCCTGGTTCTAAGCCTATTCTCTGAAAGTATGAGAAGAAAAGATCTCACTTAAGCAAATAAACTCTGCAGTAGAGTTTCTAAAAAGGAGTATAATAGTGAATTGTTTATTGTTTCTCTCTCATAGTGGTCATCAGCATTAGTCTCAATGAACAACAGCCTATCGAGGCAGTATTAAGCATTCACTTACTAGGTTTTTATAGACAAAGGTGGGGGTTGGCATGGGCAGTGGGAGGAACAGAACACAGGGGTTGACATTCACAAACTTTTTCAAAGCACCTAAATTCTCAGAATACAAAGATTGAAAGTATAAAATACCTCTTTCTCTTCCAAAGCTTCCAATCTTACTTCAGATATTATTCACACGGCATCTACATGTACAGAATATACATACAAAGCAGAGAGATAAAAAGTACAGAAAATATAAAAACAAATAAGCCTGGGCCTCATCTCAAGAAACTCACAATGTAAGGGTGAATCAGACCCATAAATTGGTATTTTCAATATAAGGAATTGAATTAGAAGTAAGTACAAGGTGTCAGGAACCATCAGAAGCTGCACTTAACTGAATGAATGTGGGTGAAACAAGTAGGACGAAATGGCTGTCAAACAAACATGAGGTGGCAGAAGGAACACACTTGAAAGCCTAGTAAGGACACTAGCAACACATCTGTTCTGCTCAGAATGATACAAGTGTACAGCAATGTACAAATCCAACGAGTGTTCCACAGCTGAGCTGTTCTCTGAACACTTTCAGCATGGCTGCTCCCGGGCTATGAACCTTTCTTTCTCTTCCCCTTGCTTTCTCAACCTCTAAATCCATTTTCTGTGAAGGGGCTTTTCTTGGTGACTTTTTCTTCCGCTTCCTCATCCTCTTCTTCCTTGCTTCCTTTCTTTCTTCCTCTCTCTTTTTTCTCTCCCCCATTCTTTTCTTTGGTGAGGTGGAGAAACTGGAAGTCTTCAAGCAGAATGAAAGACTTGAAGTGTTTGTGAAGAATAAAAAGAAAGGACACAAATTAAATAAATGCCAACTGGTGACTGAGCTCACATGTATTGGCCCCCTACCCTCCTACCTCCTGTTGGCATTCTCTGAGGACACTGAGATGAATCTGATCCATGAAGTCAAATCAGCAGAGTATGCTTGTGGGCAATAGATGAGCACATTTGAACTAATGAGAAATAAAGTCTATTAAGTAAAATAGGATAACAAATAGAGAAAGTTAGACTTGTCATGGTTGATATCAAAAGTCCTTTTAGGGTTTTGAAGCAAAAAAAAAAAATCCTTCTCAACTTTGTGGGCCTGCTGGTTAGCTCAGTTGTTTAAGCGCCTGCTCATGCAAATGCAGTCAGGCACAGGATACTGCAGTTAGATCCCCAGCTCCACCTGCCTTACCAGACATGCCCAAGGCAGCCTGAGCCTCAAAAAAAAAAAAAAAA